GGTTGTCCACTAAAAATCCAAGATCCCTCTCACAGTCACTGCTATTAAGCTTGATTTCACCCTGTTTATATGTGTACTTTTGGTGTTTCTTACCTAAGTGTAGGACTTCGAATTCATTTTGTTAGATAGGGCCCAGTGTTCAAGTCTATCAAGATCCATTTGGATCTTGAGCCTATCTTCTAGGGTTTTAGCTATTCCTGCCAGCTTAGTATGCAAATTTGATAAATTCCCCTTCTATTCCCTCATCTATCTTCGTTTATGAAGATATTGAAGAGTACTGGGCCTAAGACGGAACCTTGTGGTACTCCACTACTTACTTCTCTCCATGTAGACTTAGACCCATTAAGGACTACTCATTGAGTATGGTTTGTCAACCAGTTGTGAATCCATCTGGTGGTGAGGCTATCTATCCCACTTTTTTCTAGCTCACGAAGAAGTAGGTTGTGGTCTACTTTGTCGAATGCCTTGCTGAAGTCTAAGTATTTTATGTCCACAGTATTTAGCTGGTCTACTAATTTAGTCACTATGTTAAAGAACGAAATAAGATTGGTTTGGCATGATCTGTTTTTAAAAAAAACGGTGCTGGCTGCTAGTTATTACTTTACTCATTTCTAGATGATGATCATGATAATACCTACAGTATGTCTATCCTAATTTTTTTACCACAGTCTTCAAACACCCTTTGTCTGAAGTGATTTGCAATCTATAAAGGTTTACTACAGACAAGACATCAAGAATGTATCTATTTTGGTCAGCCAACTGGCCCAGGTCAGCAGCAATAGCAATGGACATGTCCTTCTGCAAGAAACCCCAAAGTTTTGCAAACAGTCTCCAATGCTTCCACTCATTCTGATTACAAGAGACTGCAGGCCGGGGCTCCACAGCATCCTTAGTTCTTCGCTGGAGTCATTCTGGGGACTCACGCTCCCTTCAGTCAAGACTACCTGATCCTTGGATGGGATGGGCTGATTGTCCACAGTGCAACTGCCCCCTTAGATTGTCTGCCTGCTACCCTCAAAAGAACACAAACTGGTTCTTCCTTCCCCCTGATCTTTACCGAAAAGTGGCTGTTTGGGGAGCATAATTCTTACTAATGACACCGCTTGGTGCAGGGCAGATATGAAGTGAGAAATGGTAGAGCAAAGATACTCCTATGCATATTCCATGGACAATAGATAGATTGCGCAGAAAATCAAAGTGTAGACAGAAAATAATAATGGTAGTAATGTTTATTTAGTGGTCAGCCGCTGTTCTGGACAAGCTCATGATCATGCATGAAACATTTGCGAGCCAAAGCTCAGAAGGAAATGGGAGCTGACAAGAGAGAATAGGAATAAAAAGACAGGTTGTATTTTGTCTTTTCACACCAACAAATAAAAGAGATTTACAAGAAATTAAGTTTAAATAAAAATACTGGGGCAACATTAAATTAGTGCAACATATTAAAGTATCTTGTATCAATTTAAGACTTCAGAACATGGTTAAACTGAAGTTGGTATTCAATAATTAAAAACAGAACTCATTTAATAAGAATTATGACAGAATAAAAATATTAACGAAGTCTTTTTTCTAATCTAAGAATATCCTTATTCAACTACTCAAAAGAGAATATATTAAAACCTTGGGTTAAGAGAGATCCCAACGTCATATGTGACAGAATTCTCTAGGGACAACTATACAGGTAATCAAAAAACAAAATTTGGTCAAGGCTATAAGCACTTTGGCTTGTTTTTGCCATTCCTTTTGAACTATGTTGCCGAACTGGAAATACTAAAGCCTGATAAGCTGATTCTGAGAACCTCCAAAAGCTCCACTCAGTCCCTTCCTTACCGTGTCTCCATCTGCAGGCTGACTCTTTGCCAGCGATCCCACAGCTGAGCCCCCTTCTCCTGGTAGTGCTCCAGGTCCAGGCTGCGCTCCTGCTTCAAGCGGTACAGCTGGTCCGCTACCCCCTTGGCTTTTGCCAAGTCATCCTCCAAGGTTGCAAAGACAGCCTTCTTGGTGTTCACTTCACTGATCCAGTGCTGGAATATTAAGGATACATAACAAGGACAAGGAGCAAACGTTATCATTGACCAAAAAACAGACAAGCGGGATAGGGAATCCTGGATAGGGAAACAGGCCATTTTCTGGTGGCTTCTTTCTCAGCCTATTCCTGCTCATTTTTCACAGGTGGGGTTTCTGCAGCCCTGTTCCAAATCTTGCTCTGCTTTTCTGTCTCAACAATCAATTCATGCATCACTACAATACTCCAGAGGACCTGACTTCAATGACTTCTTCATAAGAATGCCTACTTGCAGCCTACTTGCCATGAGCTGAATGTTCAGAAGGGGATCTTCCACCCCCAAGTGCAGGTTGTTCCTTCCCAGAGTGACCAAGGCAATAACATGCTCAGTTGCCGAACCTTCTGCAGGTGAACAGGTTTCCTGGCAAGAACATTACCTATAAACACTGTGCAAACGCATCCAAATAAACTTTTCTTCTGTTGTTCTTTGAGTGCTGAAGGGATGGTAATTATCTCTCTCTGCTAGATAATTCTGGCAGTGGCAGATTCAGGATTAAATTCATCGGTTCCACCACAAATGCGCGAACGACAAAAGCGTGCCTGACTAAACCGCGGTGACAAAACCGCGCGACGAATGAGCGCTTAAGCGCGCCGACAACAGCGCGCCGACAGAAGTGCGATTTAAGTTAAGGTAAGGTTTAGGGTT